ATCTATTTTACCGTGGGAAGGGGAGTCCTCAGGGCCTCTTTGGAGAAAAGCGCCATCTTCAGTTTGCATCTTACTGGTGCCGTCATCCCGCTCCTCTCTGGCTTCCCCGAGGGGGGAACTCGCACAAGATATGACCCAGTCAGAGGCTTCTGTGTTGGGAGCCACACAGTGGCCTTCCCCATCAAACGTCCCGTCTGCCTGCTGAAGGACAGGTGCGCCCGTGTCCTCTCCATGGTGGTCTCCAGGCTCCACCGGCGAATCTCCTTCATGAATTGGGGCGCGTTGGTGAGATGACACGCAAATGCTGGATGGTGCGCTTGTCTCCTCCTCGCACCAGCCCACACCAGCGGTTTCTGGGGAGCGACAGGCACCCCCCGATGCCAGGCCCACCGCTGCAGCCTCAGGAAGCATTCCGTGGAGCTGTCCGCCTCCCATTCCCGTAGAGCTCCAGCGTCCTTGTTCTGGGGGAGGCCCACAGTGTTCAGACTCTGCTGAGCTATTGGAGATAGCAGCGAAAGCCAAGTCTGCGCTCTTTCCGCAGGGCTCCTGGCCACACCGTGCCTCTGGAGACGCATCAGGAGAGTTCAAGAGAGAATGCTCCAACAGCGAACTAATGCTGGACTGGAACTCCTCCTCCTCGGAGAAATAAGCGTCCCAGGCACTCTCTGGAGCGTGGTGCGCCAGCGCTTGGCCTGGCGGTGGAGAGCGGGAGCTGGAAGAACAGGAGGGCGAGCTTGGGGAGGAACCCTCGCTCTGGAAGGAGGGGTCCTGGGACGGAACTGGAGGCACTTGCGGCTCGGCGTTTAATGTCAGAGGTGATTCTGTCTCCTCAACGGCAGCCCTGCTCTCTGCCCCAGGCCCAGCTGCAGGTGTACAGTCCACATCGCCAGACACTCTTGCTTCAAGAGGCAACGCAGACGTTTCCGTTTCCAGGTCTTCAGCCTCTGGTTCCTCAGGGCCAAACGTGCTGCTAAAGTAACTTCTCACGATCTGGGCAATACTGTCTCCATTCTTCTCTTCCGTCTCCTCCGAGGGCAGAGTTGCCTG